GAACTTCTGCTGATCCGTGATGCATCATTAGCGCAACGGTGGGTAACCAGTGTCATAGGCGACGAACTATCCTCTTGTCTGAGTTCTACTATAAAGACGTAAGCGGCGGTAGCCATCAAGTCAGACAAGAGGACAGTTATTTGTCTGTAACACTGGTTGGGGTTGCATTAAATATCGTGAATTTAGTTTCAAAAGAATGGATACTGAACAAAGAGTACTCTTTTCGATAACCCCTTCATCATCAGGCTCTACAGTTATATATACACATTATAGTGAATGAATGAATTAGTGTTATGAACAACATTAATGCTGTTTAAATAACATCCAATCAATAATATTGATAGATTATAGCTCACTAGCATCAACAAAACAATAAGCTGAATGTTAGAAAAATTAGGAAAGATAATACTAAAAATTCATGAATTTATAATCTCTACTGAAGGCCGGTCAGGGCGGTAGTAGTGCCTAGTTAGACTTGCTTCTTTTGCACACAGAATACTGGTTGTTTGTGGCGAATTGCTACAGCCTCTGCTGTCTGGAGCAAGCGGTGCTTCGAGTTAGAGCTATATGCTCAGAAGAAGTAACTGAAGATGAATTAAGCACTGTATATGATACTTTGATAGAAAATAGCTATCCCGAAAAATTTATCAAGAAACACATGACAAAGAAAGTGGAAGATTACTACTCACTATCTGTAAACGAGAAGCCTCTTTATATATACGACTGCAATTCAAGGGCGATATACCAAGTGAAATAATTACGAGGAAATTAAGAAAATCACTTCAAAGAACGTTTAATGCTGACGAACTACATATCTTATTCTTTACACGACCAATGCTGATTTCTCGATTGGAAGATGAAGTACCTAAACTAGCCACTTCAGATTGTATCCAACAATTCAACTGCGCTTGTGGAGCGAGTTATATCGGCCTTTGCTGTAGGAACTTTAATTTTTGGTGCTCGTGAACATCTCCCAGTATGGTTAAGTAAAGGTGCATTGAAAACCATTAACAGTTCGATATTTGACCATCTGGTGCAAACCGGCCACAAAGCCAGCTAGCATTGAAGAATCCTTCTCTATCACCTGACAGGTGCCAAATAAATTGCCAAAAATTTCGAAGCACCACGTGCTTCAAACAGCAGAGGCTATTGCAATTCACCTCAAACAACCAGTGCTCAGTGTGCAAAAGAAGGAAGTCCAGCTATGCACTACTACCGTCTTGACCGGGCTTCAGTAGAGACTATAAATTCATAAATTTATATTATTAATTTCTCTAATTTTTCGGACATTCAGCTTATTGTTATTGAACTGTAATCTATTGATATGATTATTATTGATTCGATGTTATTTAAACAACACTAATGTTTGGTTATAGGATTTCATCATGAGCTGACATTAGTTAGAGAACCATTGGAAAACCAGCTGAGAGTACTGGACAGCTGCTTCCTACGTCTAGTTTGGGACTCTTCATCAGTGCGCATCCACTGTACTTGGGTTCGAACCCAGGACCTTCTGGTTACAAGGCCAGTGAGCTCGTAGACCACTAAGCCACTCACTGGGACCCGATCCAATGGCCAGCCCATGAATTTTAACTTCTCCCAATTCACGATATAGCGCAACCGCTAGCCATTGTCTACAGCGAGTATTTGTCCTCACACCCGACCTACTGGATCCTACTGGCTAGCTTTTCCGCTATATCATGATTTGGCAGAAGGTGGAATTCATGGGGTGGCCACTGGATCGGTTGGGTTCCAGTGGCTTAATGGTCTACGGGCTAGTTCGCCTTGTAACCAGAAGGTTCTGGGTTCGAATCCCAATGCAGTGGGTGTGTACTGCTGAAGAGTCCCAAACTAGGCTGACGAAACAGCTGTCCAGTACTCCCTGTGGCTGGTTTTCCAATGGTTCTCTAACCAATGTCAGCTCATGATGAAATCCTATAACCAATCAACCAAATCCCTACAAACCATTACTTGAATAACCCTAATGTTGTTCATAACACTAATTCATTCATTCACTATAATGTATACCTAACTGTAGAGCCTCATAATGAAGTTATCGAAAAGAGTATTTTTTGTTCAATATTCATTCTTTTGAAAATTTTAATGGATATTTTTAATTAATTTAGTTTCATTTCGAATCACCGTGTATACATCAATTGAATGTTCCAGGGAGTTCTAAAAACCATCATCTTTTCACATTCTTGATCCATTTATGTTATAAAAATCTTTCTATATCTACAGTCATCAGAATACTAATAATAAAAATAAAATAAATAATTGTCTACTAATCCAACTCCATGTGAAGACAAAAGACAACTCACAAAAAGCACAAACATACAAACAATCAATGCACACGAGTGCATGTTAACTCGACTGACATCTAAACACGAATCATCTCGTTAGCATTTAATTGTGTCGCCTCGCCTTGTCTTGTCTGGCTTCGAAGCCCCCCCCCCGCCAACACCCACTCCAACCCTCGCTATGAATAACCCTCACCTTTCCACAACCTCTATTCCATAAATTAATTATCATATTTCTACACGTCTGGTTTATTTTACTCGTCCATTAGACAAACAAACAAACCGACCAACTCACTCAGGCCACCACCCCCCCACACACACACAACACACAAACACAAAAGGATAGAAATCACACACACAATGTCGAATTTTTTTTTCATCACACAGCCAATGTCATCTTTTAATAATTATCAAAGCTCATTTGAATAAACGATTCTGCACTCAAATCATTGCTCGTGTTAGTTAGATTAGTTGAACACTTTTCAGAGGTAAATACAGAGGAGGTGTAATAGCGGAGGGTGTTGTTGTTGTTGTTCTTAGTGGTAGTGGGGGTGGTGTTTTGAATAATGTTCATAATGATGGTAACTTGATGTGTTTGTTGTGTTCTTCGTGGTCTTTTTTCCTTCATGTTGCTGTGTGACTAATTCATACCAAATGGCACAATTCTTATCCATGATAAGATTAGTAGAAGTTGAGTAAAGAAAATAGAGATGACATAAGTGATAAATGCGTAGGTGGAGAGTGTATCCATGCTACAATTTGAATTCATATTCTAGTGATGAATCATACTCACTAAATTTCTGATGGTGATTAATGTGTATCACTGAGTTGAATTGTTTTTTCCAAAATGTGCTTAATCGAATTCTATAATTTATCACGAATTCAAGTGATTCAAGTATTGGTTTGTAGGGATTCGGTTGATTGGTTACAGGATTTCATCATGAGCTGACATTGGTTAGAGAACCATTAGAAAACTAGCCACAGGGAGTACTGGACAGCTGTTTCGTCAGCCTAGTTTGGGACTCTTCATCAGTACGCACCCACCCAGGACCTTTTGGTTACAAGGCGAGCTCGTAGATCCCTACAAACCAATAATTGAATATCAATGAGATGCTCACTGGTGGCTAGCCCTATTCAGGTAGGTAGTTACCTGAGGTTCCAGTGGGAAGTCGTCACCAGTAAGGTGCAGCAGGTCGGGTGTGAGGACAAATACTCGCCACCGAAGACTTTGGCTAAGGGTCGTGCTATTTCGTGAATCGGAAGAAGTTAAAATTCATGGGTTGGCCATTGGATCAGGTTGCAGTGGCCTAATGGTATACGAGCTCGCCTTGTAACCAGAAGATCCTGGGTTCGAACCCCTGTGATGGATGCGTACTGCTAAACAGTCCCAAACTAGGCTGACGACACAGCTGTCCATCACTCCCTGCATGTTTTCCAATGGTTGTCTAACCAATGTAACCAATTCAAATTAGAATTATAGAGAAAGAGACTTAAAGAGTCTGGAAGTAATCTTGTAACTGGTTATTTGATATTTTCATTGATTAACGATTTCGGTAATTGATTTAGTCGTCAATTATGCGTTGGTGGTTCATTCGGGGGTGGGGATCGATTCCCGGCCGACAAATGCACTCGTAAACAATATTCTTTAGTCTCTAGTAGTACTGTAATGACAGAAAACAAGAGCCAGACAAAAAATTGTTGACTGAGAAAATCAAGACATACTTTTATATTTTTATGTACATTATTATTCATTATAATTAGCAGAGAAACAGCGTCTTCTTATTGGTTGTTTTCTCGCTGAAGGTGATTCTGTCATCTCTTTGTGACCGTTTCTTAGATAGTCCGTCCATATATATCTGCGAATCGTATTTGCATACGTTAAGTCTGCTGTGTGATTGGTTGTTGAGTTCCTCGAGGTTAAGCTTGGTTATTCTTTTTTTGCATGATTCAGATTTGGAACGTCAATAATGACGTCAATTGTTGTCCACAATTTTTGGCTTGCAGACAGTTCTCACACAGTACAACTAAGTAGAGAAGGAAGATTTGGCGTGACTATTAGCAACTTCATTCTGTTAAAATGAATTTCACCGCCATGTAGACTTCATAGTTCAAGCGTGAAGCCCTATGTGGTACACTAAGGAAGCCAAAAAAAGGGGGGAAATTTTGAGTCCCTACTCCTTCCAATAACAACTGTTTGAGATGTCAGAAAAGAAATGTAGCTCATAATCGATTATTTATGGTTCGATGGGAAAAATTTCCTCATTTCTGTTGCTGCTTACATAGTCTTTCTTTTCTCTCAAATATGTTAGCCTTTATCTGTATTAATTCAGGTGGAAGCAGTTCATAATTTCAGTATAGCTGTTCAGTTATAATATGGTGGATTTTCAAACCCCACAGAATTTTGCAGGACTTCATCATGAGCTGACATTAGAACTATTGGAAAACCAACTGGGAGTATTGGACAGCTGTTTCATCCTATCCTGGGACTCTTCATCAGTACGCACCCACTGCAATGGGGTTCGAACCCAAGACCTTCTGGTTACAAGGCAGAATTTGTCTTCAGGTGGTATAAGTCTATCTTAGCAACTTTCATGACTGACAATTGAAAAATTTACCAAATGATGGCGTGTTTCTTACTCTTCTTTAATAATTCGACTCTCATTAGTACGAAATGTCATTTTCTTTACATCTCATTAACAGGATACAACACATCAAAATGGTTCGTTAACACCTGGTGCAAAATTACGCGCAAGTAGTAAAAGTACACTGAATGTTGACAATCCTACAGAAGATAAACAACACAGTCGTGGTTTTGTCCGTAGATGGTCATCAGGATCACGAAAAAAACGGCGAAAATCAAGTAAACATCGATCTGGTAATATTGATGGCGGTGGTGATGGTGATGATGATGATGCCTGTGATGGAGTAGAACAAATCCCGGATACAACATTCACGCGAACCTTATCTAATCCAGATGAAGTTCTGCGCCGAAGACGACAACAACGTGTACATAATCGAAATCAGGCTATGGAAATTGGTGATGGGAGTAAAAAAGGTAAATTTTGATCGTATCTTTGTTTTTTTTTATTGAAGATGATGAAATGAAGTTTTGTCTGGCAAACTTTTAGATGCCATCCTAGATATAATTGTCAGAGCTTCATCTGATGATAACGCAAATTCAGTGTCTGTTCAAAAACGGTGTTTGCGTTTATAGGGATCTCAGCTGATTGCATTGTAGATGTCATCATAAATCATTGTCACTTACAAAGAGAATCTTTAAATTGCATGAAACGCTGAGCGGTTGTTTCGTCTCAATCTAGGACTCTTCAGGACTTCACACTCACAAGTCCAACTAGGAGTTGAACTTAGGACCTTTAGATTATGAGGTGAGCCCATGAATTTTAACTTCTGTCAACTCGTAATGAAGCGTTACAAAGCTGTCTAGTGTGTCATCGATGTCCAGAAAGAATAAGCGATAAGGAACACCAGGGGAACAAACCAACAGGCGAGAGCCAATCGTTCATCAAATATGTAAGAGAAAATGGGGATGGATTGATCGGGCATACATTGAGGAGGCTGTCGAATGACATTGCACGCCAGCTACTCGAATGGAATCCAAATGCGTAGTGACTAATGGGTTGTCACGTCGAGGGTGACATAGAGGAGATCGTGTGAGAAACAGAGATGAAAGAGTTTGGTCAACCGTGAACTCAGTTGAAGAGAATGGCAGAAAATGAAACACAAAGTGGAGATTTGTTGTTGAAGCCCTATGTTCCATTTGGAACGCAAGGGAATAATAATAATAATGATCGATGAGCGTGCACCTCACCAGCCAAGATTTGGGGAGGCCTCTAGACCACAACCTCTTATGAGAGAATGTGATATGAACATCTATGAAATCATATAAACAAAAAAACTAGTCAGGTTTACGCTTCAATAGTCAATGATTACTTTGTTAATTGATGCCTCAGGTTTTGCATGTCATTTGAAACTTAGTCATGTGACATAAAATTCTGTACACTACTCACACCAGTAGTGAATGTTTTCAAGAAGGACTTCCATACGAAGTGACATTAGTTCAGGAATCAGTGAAAACCTGGGAACACTGTACAACTGTTTTGGAACTCTAACAAGGCACTGACCTCAAAACCTTGAGATTATGAGGTAGGAACATTTAATGCCTTTGAATTCATGAAATAAAACCCCAAGGTCATCCAATATCATTTGGAAGTATTTGTCTTCACACTGAACTCATTTTGCCATTAAATTCCAAATGAACGGCTAAATGACATAGTACTTTCTCAGAGAAATTTAATTTTCCCGGTTTTTCCCGTCCTTTGGGTCATGGTTCTGCAGTATGGAAGAGTCCTCTTTTGAGACGAAACCCCCATATAGTTCTCTGTTGTTTTTACTGACCGTCTACTTGAGGTTGTTTCGTGATTATGCAGTTAAAGAAAATCGACTTGATGAAATCGTATGAAGTGTGTTATTCTGGTGTCTGTTCGTGAGTCGGTAGAATGCTCACCAGCTGCACACAGAAAGTCATTGAGGTTTGATTCCCAGCTGATGCACTCTCAAACTTCGCTTAGTTTACCAGCGGTTAGTAAGCCTAGAAGAGACAGTAGGTTGACTGTGAAGCTGAAGATTCTATCCCCGTAAAAATCTCAAGTCTTCCACAGACAGAATGACATCTTAAGGATTAGTTTTGTTTTAACGAGTTTGACCACGGATTGATACCAGTTGGAGAAGAATCACTGAAAACCAGCACTGGAGTACTGGACAGCCAGCTGTTTCATCCTAGTTTTGAGAATCATCGGTAGTACACAGCCACCGTGCACTGGGATTCGAACCCAGGACCTTCCGGTTACAAGGCAAGGTGGCTCGTATACCATTACTCAACCAGTGGGACCTGGTTCAATGCCCAGTGCATGAATTCTAACTTTTCTCAATTGGTGACGCAATTAGCGCGACCACCGACCAACGTCATCGGTGGGAAATCCATCCTTACACTTGACTGGATGGACCGCATAAGTCACGACTTCTCACTAGAACTCCAAGAAACTCTGTCCTGTAGCAAGTTACTAGCGAGCGTCAGAATAGTTTTCAAGAGTTTGGTATATAAGGATTAGATCTGTTTTCAGAAATATAAAGAAGTTAGGCTAGCAACACCCCACTAGACCTATTGACATCTTTTAGCGCCCTTTACATTATAACAAATTCTTTCTCAGGTAACACAGGAGAGGTCAAGCGGCGGGAGCAATGAAGAAGGATAGGTAGAATACAAGAATTAACAAGTTGTGTTGGTTTCCTTATGTAGAACGTTAAACGAAATATCTTTATAAAAACTTACAAGATTGCAGGAAAGACCAGGAAATGCGGTCAGTCGAAATACACCGTCGAAGGTGTTTAACATTCAGTTTATTCTCCATTTCTGTGGCATCTATACTATTGAAACCATGCGAACTAACCAGATCATGTAATTTCATGCATTTATTGCCCTTGATGAATTTGAATAAAGCAAGAACAACAGTGGTGGTTTGTGCAGAATAATATGGTAACATCATTTATTTCGTTGGCTTCTCATCAGCTGCTTACAGCCTAAATAAATTATGAGGTTTAAGTATAGACACGTTTTAACATACTTGCAAATTTTACATGTTGTCAGTTGACAGAAAGTTCCACAATTAGTGAACAGTGCTCAGAAGATTGCGCTTATATAGTTTTTACACAGGCAGTTCAAGTTAAAACAAAATAAATGTATGCATACAATGGTAAAGGAGTTACATAATAAAGATGAGATGTGTGTTAGATGCATATTGACTAATAAGTTAGGTAACAGTGTACTAAGTTGAACTCAAATCATAGAAACAAGAGACAAGCAAAATTACAGATTATAAAAGGGGGGGTGAGGTTAAGGACAAAGATTACGTAATCAGATGAGAGAAAAACAGACATCCAGTTACCGAGGCAAGAAAAAACTGATTACTGCTTCTTTATGAACACATAAATCTGGTTTTGATAGAAATTGCTTCGGAAAACTTGAGGAGAATCGGGTTCCTTTGTCTATTGATAATTTTGAAGGATTTCTCGATTTCCGCCTCATGACTCGTGTCAAGGAAATGTCGAGTAATAGCGCTATTATAAGACTTTGTGCCTGTGAGACGTAAGCTTTTCGGCACATCTTCAGAAAATCGGAGGTGTGCCTTTCTTTCTGTTCTCCCAGTGTAACTGTACATAAACCTCATAATTTATTTAGGCTGTAAGCAGCAGCTGATGAGAAGCCAACGAAGTAAGCACTGATGATGCCATATGATTCTGCACAAACCGCCACTGTTGTTCTAGCTTATTCAGGTCATGTCAGTCGCGCCTGTGACTGAAATTGGAATGAACAATTTGATATTTCGAGGGAGTAACCTTAAAACCTTTCTAATAGGATCACTGAATGTTTTCTAATAAAAAGGTTATTTCAGGATTTCATCATGAGCTGACATTAGTTAGAGAACCACTGGAAAACCTGGGAGTACTGGACAGTTGCGGTTTCGTCCTAGTTTGGAACTCTTCAGCAGTACGCACCCACACCACGGGATTCGAACCCAGGACCTTCTAGTTACAAGGCCAGTGAGCTCGTAGACCACTGAGCCACTGGGACCCGATCCAATGGTTCTTGAATTCTAACTTCTGCCAATTCACGACATAGCGCAACCGCTAGCCAATGTCTTCGGCGAGTATTTGTCCTCACACCCGACCGGCTGCACCCTACTGGTCACGACTTATTATTCATTTTAAAACAGTCGTGCTGAGAAGTAACCACCGGAATAGAAACAGTTGGATTGTTGGCATACTTAAGAGAATAGGGCAAGCCATTTGCGTGCGTCAGTGGCACAGCGGTTAGAACTGTCGCTGAACATGCACATGGTCCGGGGTTCGACCTCCCGCCGACGCACACCTGATGTCTATAATCAGCCTACAAAAATTTGGGCTGCCGACATCACATGCAGAAAATTCCATACTTGTAATAATAATAGTAATATTGTATCTAATTTACTTAAAATGACAAAAAAATAAACATTACATGATAATAATAATAATAACAAAAAGTTGTTATAGCAGCTATGTAGCAAATTACAGTATGCGATAAGGAGAAAAATATGCATAAAGTATAAAATTGTAGTAATAATAGTAATAACAACTAAAATGAAATAGCTAAGTTATGATTAAACGATAGAAAGGGAGACACCATAAAACTACAGAACGATGACTGATGAAAGGATCGATTCACTTTGCTAATTACATAGTAACTTATGTGTTTCACGTCTAGCCGAGTCTTCATCACATAAAGTACGGGCTAAATAGGGTGTTGTAGAATTTGTGTACTTATTGGTGCGAGCATATAACTTCTTATATTGACTTCTTGTCCTACCTGTTGAGATGCAAGGGGATAGTTGTGAATAAGGGGGTGCAGGGGGGTTGGCAGTACGGCTTTTGGCCATTTTGTACAGGAATTCATGTGTCTCTCAACTATTATATTGGCGAGCTCACGCAGTAGCATACCACAAGCCCTACTCACAGCATTTAATACTCTTCGTAATATGATATAGTCCTTTTTGAGAAGCCCAGGAAAGATTAATGGAGAGCAATGGAGTACAGTAGGTAAAATACAGAGAGTTTACAAACTGCAGAAGTAAAGGTTGGTTGATACTTGATTGTCTAAACTTTTCAATGTAGAAGGTAAGACAAAACATTTAAATAGATGCGAAATGTACATGGAATATGGTAGTTTAAAATGTTCAAACAGGCCATCAAGGTCCACGTGCAAAAAATACAGTGTGGAATCTAGCTATAATCAAAGTAAAATTGAAAAAAAAACAAAATGTTCGAAGAACGTAAACAGAAAAGTTGAAGGGACATAACCTCGAGAAAGAGCAGTAAGAGTAAGTAAATTAGTAGAGGATTTCCCATTATATAGAGTATACTGATTCCTTCTATTATAGGTAAGATTTTATTTTGATAAATCGCACAGTGTTTACAGTTATATGAACTGATGACGTTTCGAGCACAAACTATTGCCACTCATAATCATATCAAGTTACTCACACAACTTTGAATTAGGGTGGCATTCAAACCTACAAACTCACTCAGAGACAAGCTCTGTAGGCTAAAAGACCCGGTGGATCCAATTAAACAAAATAATATAATTTACAAAATACCCTGCAATAACTGTGAGGTCAACTATATAGGTCAAACTAGTAGGTCAGGGATAGTCAGATTAACAGAACATAAGAATTTAGCTAAGGTAAGAATGGTTGACCCTTAAAAGATAAGTAATTTAGAAAAAGGCTCAGCTATTGCACTTCATGCAAACTTCATACAAACAACCACACAATAGGGTGGGAGAGGGTTAAAATTCTAAAAAGTAATATAGCTAAGTGGAGAGAGAGGTTGATTACGGAATCCTTATTTATCGAGTCCACACCCAACACATGCAACAAAAATGACTCAATGCAAATACCAGAGATATGGAAGATATTATTACCGCAGGTCAAATCAGAAGAGGGTAATAAATAATATTAAAATACTATTTCGATTCAAACACATCACAACATCCTAACAAAAAACTTATTATGACTATTAAAATACTCGTCGTATCTTCCATCTGATTATAGTAGATCAATAACACTCGTATTAATGCCATCAGTCAAACCAGAAGAAGATCATAAATAATCTTAAAATTCTATTTCAATTCAAACACATTCTAACAAGCAGCTTATTATGACTGTAAAAAACACTCGTCCAATTTTCCCATCTAATTGCAATTGATCAACAACACTCGTACGATTATTTCTGAATGTACATTATCTCACATTGATTTTTAATCCAATATCTAATCCATTCCACATATGTATATAAATGAAAGAACAAAGTTGTGTGAGTAACTTGATATGATTATGAGTGGCAATAGTTTGTGCTCGAAACGTCATCAGTTCATATAACTGTAAACACTGTGCGATTTATCAAAAAATAAAATCTTATCTATAATGGAATTATACTCTACCACAGTGCCCAAGTTTTATACTTATATCAATTATACTGATTCCTGCTTGCTGTGATAAAAACAGGCTACTGGATTTAATTTATACATATATATGTGTATATATATGCCTTCTTTATATGCTGTTTATCTCATATATTTATAGGCAGTTTGGTAAAGATTTATGGGAATGCGTTGAATCCAACAATACCGTATATCCTACTCCCATTATCTGTTAATGATACATCTGAACAAATTGTACAATGGACATTAGAAAAATACAATCTTATTAATCATGTCGATTCAAGAGATTATTGTTTAGTTATGGTGAATTTACCTGCACGTAGTAATGGAAACAATGGTGGAGCTGTTAACGGTACTGAACGTTTACCGTAAGTGATTTGTAGTCATGCCTCTTTTTGATTGTTTATATAGTACTATTATTATTTATTGTGTTATTGCTGGCCTCGTGCTCAACACTTTCTTTTTACTGTATCTTATTATCGTTTAATTGAGGTTAAGGAGTACATCCGGATCGAATGTATGATCGATGAGTATTCTACTATTGGAACACGGAAGCACTCTTTCATATATTATTATAATTGTTTTGCTTTAGTTCCTAGAGGAGGAACATAGGGTTTCAACCACACTTCTCTATTGCGTTCGGTTCTCTGCCAACGTCTTCATCACCTGACTTCATGTCTGCCCACAATTTTTCATCTCCTCTTCACATGACCTCCTTCGCCATGTCACCCTCACACTGACGACCAACTCGTCACTTCTCATTCGGGTTTCACTCGATCAGAGGCCTGGTGTGTGATGGATGTCACTCACCTGCTAGTTTGTTTTCTCAGAGTATGGCCAATCCACCTCCATTTCTACCTGCATATTTTTTGCACACTTAGTTCCTTCTGGGTTGACTCATTGTTCCCAGAGATCGCCAACTATTGTTGATGTTTTCTAGCCGGCCATCTGATCTTGAGAGAAGTATTGAGGGTGTGTAGTTTGTTAAAAGTGCTCTTCATGACGCGCCAAGTCTCTAATCCATAAAGTAGCACCGACTTCACACTGGAGTTGTAAATCCACATATCATTTTTCCTGCTGACTGACTGATCAGGAGGGCTTCACATACTTTTGCAGGTGTGTGTTGGGCGGTTGTTAATTCCTGGCTACCTACACTATGTATGAAGGATTGATGACTTGTCTTTCCCAGATTGCTGAAGCACTCGCTTGGTGGGGTTAAGGAATACGGATTTTGCAGCATAATAACTTCTCTTGATAGCTTTATCGAGTCTTGGTTTGACTACTTCTTGTACACATCGTCTTCTTTGAATGAAGTATTGATACAGACAGATTTCTTTGAAAGTGTTCGGATAATATGACTGGGGCTAATTTATTGAGAACCTTCTCAGGATATCCATTTTTAGATAAAATATCCTTCAGAATCCTTATTTTATGCCTAATTGTGCTGTCAGAAGAAATCTTTCATGACCTATTGAACAGTCCTCTCACTACGTTTTTTATACTGGATTGGAACAAAATTTTTTAAATGTATGTAACTTCCTGTCCATGGAGACTTTCTATATATAGGTCTCTCCTTTGATTGGACTCTAGCAACTGTTGTGCTGTGTCTAGTCCTTGGTGTTTGGTGCAGACTGATTTCTATCAGTCAGTCAGGTTTGCAATGTGGCCAACATTCCGCTAGATAGCTCGCTATCACGATGCACACTGGTTTGGTGATATTAGATGCTTGGAGACAATAGGCCACAGGAAGCCTTACTAAGACTTAGGTTTCGTGCTAGTGGGTACTTACCAGTCAGTAAGGCGTATCTGCAACTGCCATGAAGGCAAAACTCATTTTCCGCCTGTCTAAAATTCGAACCCGCGTTGCTCAGTGCCGCCTGCAGTCAGAGATGTTACTACTGAGCTGTTCAAGCTCGCGGTTGACCTCCTGTAGGACTGACTGTAATGGATACTTTGATTGGACACTAGTCAGTAACTAGTGTAATATGTCTAGTCCTTTGCATTTAGTGCAGACTGAATTCTATGGAATATGGGACATCTCAGAAGGGACATGAGTTGTTCCTTCAAGGGAGTTGCAGATACACCCTACTGACTGACTATCGAGTGCCAACTAGCACGAAACCTAGGCTTCCTGTGGCCGACTGCCTCCAACCATCTAATATCAAATAGATTTATCGATTGTTCCATTAATCCTTTTCGTTAGAGAAACTTTTGGGAATTTAATAGTACCATTTTCCTCATGTTCTTTTGTGAAGTTGAGATTCGGATGGCATGAGCTGAATTCTATCAACAGGTCTTAAGCGCTTTTGATCTGCTTTCACAGATATAATTCCATTTGTTGTATATGCTGTTGTAAAATACCAGCTTCTAGGCTTGACAAGTATAAATCCCCTGAAAAGTTGTCCTAAGGGGCTTCCCACTAATGGAATAGGCGCCAATCGAATTAAAATTGGACTCTGTTAGTACATAAAAGCGACAATTTCATCGGCCCTTTGTTGAAGAGGATATTATTATTGTATCCTTTAGTTCCTAGAGGAACATAGGGCTTCAGCTGCGCACCTCCATTGCCTTCGATTTTCTGACAACTTTTTCACCCTGCTCCAGGTCTGTCCACATGCTTTCATCTCCTCTTCACATGACCTCCTCCAAGTCACCCTTGGACGACCAACTCGCCGCCTCCCTTTCGGGTTCCACTCGAGGGCTTGTTTAGTGATATCACTTGATGGTTTCCTCAGCGTATGGCCAATCCATCTCCATTTCTTCCTGCCTATTTGTTTAACAATCTGCTCCTGATTGGTTCGCTCCCAGAGATCCCTGTTGCTGATCTTTTCTGGCCGTTCATCTGATCTTGAATATTGAGCAAAGACAGCTGTTAATGAAGGTCTGAAGTTTCTTTGAGATGCTCTTTATGACGCGCTGGCCAAGTCTCTGATTCCTATAGTAGCACTGACTAACTTCATATTGGAGTTGAAAATCCGGATCTTATTTTTGATGCTGAGTGCTGTTGACCTCCACACAGATTTGAGTGTAATGAAAGCTTGTCTTGCTTTTCCGATTCTGGCTTTGATATCCTCGTCAGTTCCGTTGGCCTGTAGTTGAAACGATGCTTCCCAGGTAGGTGAAGGAGGTTGTTTCTTTCAGGTTCTTCCCACTTATGCTGATTGTTGTCTGTTGTTGTTGCTGTTGATGTTGGCTAGGAATCTTCATTATCTCTGTTTTATCTATGTTCACTTGAAGTCCTATCTTTGATGCTTCTTCTGCCAACTTGTTACTTTTCACTTGCATATCTTCCAGTTTGTGGGAAATCAGACATATACCATCGGCGAAGTCCAGATCCTGAAGAGGATATATCGTTAGTTTTTCTACAATATATATATCAAGTCAGTAGTCTTAATGAATGGAACATTTGTGGATAAGGAAATGATATCGAAAGTGACCAGATGCTTACTAGTTTTATACTGAGATCATTAGGATGTATACGCTTCATTAAATCCTTCTCTATTAACTTTAGTTGCTTTATTCTGATTCGAGTTTGTTACCATTTATCGTGGTACTGTGTGTTCAACTTTGTCGTTTATGCGTTATGTGACCTTAACTGCTGATGTACGCTTTATGTGATGATTGTGTACCCTGACACAAAAAGAAAAAACTGATAGCAAAAATAGAAGAAAAAAAACAAATTTTCATCCAGGTCATTTTTGTAGTGGTCTTTTCACACAACTGTTTGTTACTAAGTCAAATATTTCTTTAAAAATTGAGAAATCAAATGTGAATTGTTGTTAATCATAGGTAGAGGTAGGAAGTAAAAAATCAATATTCTTGTAAACCTTTGTCAGAATTCAGCGATATTAGTAATAGATAAGCAGACTTCTCTGATGACTACTCAACTCATCGATATACACAAACTGGTGGGTAGTGTGGTATTGATTCACAAGGTAATAGTGTGATGGTGTCATACAGATAATGTTTGCCAACGGAATATTATTCTCACATATCCCCACAGTTCAATCCGGCATTAACAACAACAGAATACCAGATGTGTATATTTGAACATTCTATTTCATGTCGATTGAAGTAAACCGAAATTACACGCTCAGGGATTGGTTAAAGAATATAAAACTGTATAGATATAAACAGCGGTTTAATCAATGAAAAATATGCATTGGTTTCCTTGTCTTGCCTTCTGTTGTCAGTCTGTAACTATCTCTGAAACACACTGAGGAGATATGTTGGGTGATACCGCTTTCGGGTCACCACTCGAATGAAACTTGATTAAGAAACGATGAGCTGAGGGCTAGATGCGAGAGAGTTACACAGAAGAGATTGTGCAAGGAGGAGATGAGAGTTTATGAGCAATCGTGGAGCTTATTCTTTTGTATTCCGTTACGTTCCAAGTGGAACATAGGGCGCCTTCAAGCTAGAGGCCTGAAGTTTCTGTACCAGTGATATTCATTATTTTTACGGGATGGAGTTCCTAGCCTTATGCCCAACTTTCCGTCTTTACAAGTCGTGTTACAGGCTTAGCTAGGTAAAGGAGTGTGTCTATGATCGGAGATCGAACCCCAGACCACATGCGTGGTTGGTGAGCATTCTACCGCTGTGCCACCGTGGAGTAAGCAGGTTGAAGTAGAAAATCGTTGCCAGGATGCAGTGAATGTAAGTTAGGCAATTGTTGGCATTTGTTTAATCCTAAGTCGTACCTAGTATCCTGGTGACATTCATATCTATGCTACGACATGTCACAATCGGATAATTTTTCCGACTAACCAGTATTGATTTTTGGAATGGCTAGAGGTAGACGACAGAAAGCTTCACACGTTGGGTTTCTTAACTAATGATACTCCTCAATAAGGCGTATCTGCAGCCTTTGAGAGATTCAAAGCCGCATCACTCATCGCTATAATCGAAGACACATTAGCTTCACAATCGATTTCACGAAGGACTGTAGTGTTTATTTTTACGAGTTGATCACGGATTGATATCGGTTGGAGAACCATTGAAAACCAGAAAGTATTGGACAGCTGCTGTTTCATCCTAGTTTGGGAATCATCGGCAGTACGTTCCCACTGGGATTCGAACCTAGGACCTTCTGGTTACAAGGCAAGCTTGTATACCATTCAGCCACCGGGACCTGATTCAATGGCTCATGAATTCTAACTTCCACCAATTCGTGATTTAGCGCGACCCCAACCATTGTCGTTGGTGGGACATCCATCCACACACGTGATATCTAATTGGACCTCACTGGTAGAAGTTAGAATTCACGAACCATTAAATCGGGTCCCAGTGACTGAATGGTATACGAGCTTGCCTTGTAACCAGAAGGTCCTAGGTTCGAATCCCAGTGGGAACGCACTGCCGATGATCC